GATGCTGCTTGGCCTGCTGTGTTCATCCAGCTCTGCACCTTGTTGTCACTGAAGTTGAACTGACTGCTCTGAAATTGCTGAGCTAACCTTTGCAACCTTTTTGAACAACTGTGGATTGTCTGTAATTCTCCAGTTCTCCAGGACCACCCTCCGAACCCATAAAGATTGAAAGATTCAGACTTAGCAAGAACTGCAGATGCTGGAGTCAGAGACAACAGTGTGGAGCTGGAGGAACACAGCAGACCAGGCAGCATCAGAGGAGCAGGAAAGTTGACATTTCAGGTTGGGACCCTTCTTCAGAAATGGGGAGGGGGAAGGGAGCTTGGAAATAAATAGAGAGGAGGGGTGGAGCTGGGGAAGGTAGGTGGGATGGTGATAGGTGAATGCAGGTAGGGAGTGGTGGAGATTGATCAGTGGGATGGGTGGGGTGGATAGGTGAGAAAGAAGATGGACAGGTTGTGTCATGTCAAGGAGGCGGGATGAGAGGGAGGATTGGGCATGGAATGAGGCTGTAGGGTGGGGAGATTTTAAAACTGGTGAATTCCATGTTTAGGCCATCGGGCTGCAGGCTCCTGAGGCGGAATATGAGATATTGCTCCTCCAGTTTGTGTGTGGTGTCATTGTGACACTGGAGGCAGCCCAGGATGGACATGTCACCCAGGGAGTGGGAGGGGGGAGTTAAAATGGTTGGCAACCGGAAGCTGTTGTCGTTTGTTGCGTACAGAGCACACATGTTCTACGAAACGGTCTCCGAGTCTACGCTTGGTCTCGCTGATGTAGAGGAGGCCACATCGGGAACAGCGGATACAGTAGACCAAGTTGGCAGATGTACAGGTGAACGCCTGTCTGATATGAAATGTTTGTTTTGGGCTTTGAATGGTGGTGAGAAGTGTAGGGGCAGGTGTGGCACTTCCTGCGGTTGCAAGGAAAGATGCTGGGTATGGTGGGGTTAATGGGGAGTGTGGAGCGGATGAGGGGGTCACAGAGTGAGCGGTCTCTACAGAAGGCAGATAGGGGTGGGGAGGGAAATATCTTTTTGGTCGTGGGGTCAGATTGTAGGTGGCGGAAGTGGCAGAGAATGATATGCTGGATGCGGAGGTTGGTGGGGTGATGTGAAGGCAAGGGGGATTCTGTCTTTATATTGTTTGGGGGGAACGGTTTTGAGGACAGAAGTGTGGGAAATGCAAATGAGGGCATTTTTCTGTTTTTGTGTGTGTGTTTTTGTGTGTGTGTGTGTGTGTGTTTGTGTGTGTTTGTGTTTGTGTGTGTTTGTGTGTGTTT